ATAATAATATAATATATATTATATTATAATATGATTATTATTATTAATTATTATAATATAATTATTATTATTAATTATTATATATTAGAAGAAGAAAAGAATTTGCGTCGAAGTTATTATTAGTCTGTTATTATTACTAGTTAGATAAAACGGTAAAGAAATTAGGAGGATTCGAGGATATCGTTGCATCATTTTCAACTTATTTAGAATTATTGAAAGAGTAAAAGAATTTTTATCTAACTTACGGTTCTTGCAATCGAGAATTTTCTTGCAGAGAATTTTTATTTTGCACAAAGATCCGCGGTCTAGTTATCGTTGATTAATTATTACTTTCTACAACAGAGAAAGTATCAGACACATTTTCGTGACTTCATATTAATTGATACGTTCCGCCGTGAAATAACATTTTTGTTCCACTGGTATCTGGATGACAGTGCAACTCATCCGGAAATAACTATCGCATTCTTAAATTCCACTTGATACCGCACAAATTCTGCGCGCGGAACGTTCTCGTATACGGCGAAAAAGTTGCCAACTAATTTGCGGTGGCGGAGTAATGTGACTCATCCTGTATAATTAGTCAATTCCTCGTATTGTTAATGAATCAAATTATGAGTCTGTTGTTTTAAAGAAATGGTCTCTCTATTTCTCCATAGTTATTAACTGGTCTGCTGAGGTCACGCGAGTGACTCCAAGTATTTCTATTTTATATTTTACAGTCAAAGTTTAACTTTTTTTCCATTTTATATTTTTATATTTTGTATTTTTATATTTTTTATGTTTTTATATTTTATACTTTTACATTTTGTATTTTTATATTTTTATTTTTAATATTTTCATATTTTATATTATTATATTTTCTATTTTTTTTCTATTTTCATATTTTGCATTTTTATATTTTACAGTCAAAGTTTAACGTTGCATGTTTTTAGTATTTTATATGCCAACTAAAAATCAAATCCAGTGGACCATTTTTCTTGAATTAGAGATTAACACTTTCTTTTATATTTTTTATTTGGAGTCTATCGTGACCCCAACATCGTAATTCTATCTTATTATGCAGTAAAATTGATTCTCTCTTTCTCTCTCTCTCTCTCTCTCTCTCTCTCTCTCTCTCTCAGAGGAAATGAATTGTCGTATGAACGCATCTGCACGAGTTGTTAGATTATTGTTATCAGAAATTGCTATTCCTTTATCGTCTAACACAGACAAGTGTAGATCGAACGAACGACACCTGTTACGTTCGCGTACCAGCCGTAACATTTTGCTATCGCGCGCAAGAATGTTATGCATATACATACACACGATGCATGTGATCCGTTCGAAACATGCCGCGTTACCTAATCTATCCACGTGTGAGAGAAGTTTAGCGTTAGTTGAAACTGAAACTCGGTTCGATATACATACATATACATAGTTACATATGTTCAACGCCGAATTGATAACTGAATTATGAAATTATCGTCGCAAATTGCACAGGAACAAGCATAACAGTGCATAACACTTCGTAGTATACGCAGTGTCGTAATAGTTTCGGTCGATTGAAATTGAACGGTAATTGACATGATCTTTACGTTATCATCGATACGTACAGGGTGTTCCATAAATACATAAAAAGGTAGTTCCGATGTTCTCCCTATTTCGTATTTCGCGCTATCAATTTTCTCATAAATGCATAAAATCCGCAGTCTAATAATAATATACGAATGTCTACGTATGTTTTATGTTTCTTTATTCGAATCAGTATAATATAATTAATAAATAAATAAATAAATATACTATAATATAGTATACTAGTATACTATAATATACTATATTATAGTATATTTATATAGTATTTATTGTATATTTTTTATAGTATTTATAGTATATTTACTATATTTACTATATATAAGTTTACTATATTTACTATTTATAAGTATTATATATATGGTATATATAATACTTATAAATATATATATATATATGTATATATATCGTATTAATTATATTATACTGATTCGAATAAACACGAGAAGCAGATAAAGCTTCCTAAGGGTGGGGGTCCACTGTACCACCCTTAGACAGTGAACCACCCCCACACATGTACCGCCCGGTCAACACCGGGTTAAGCGCTGACTATCAACTCGAAAAATTCGCACAATATCGAAGTAATTTAACGAACGAAACCGAAACTATAAAGCAAAAATGTTCCATAGGAAATATCAGTTCAGCCATTTTGTATTCCACAAATCCTAGCAACATTCGAACAGCACCGTTAGCAGTCAGTCTAATGGTCCGAACGAATCTCTGATTAAGGGAAACGAAGCATGTGGCGCTGCTTCTACGCTCCTGGGTGGTTCGGTTGATAGAGATCGGCGAGTCGGAGACCGAGCCGACCGTGATGGAGGTGAAACCGATCCCGAAGCCCAGATCGGTGGTGCCGCATCGGCCGGTGCCAGCGCCGCGCCGGCTTCCGCCGACGCTTCCGGTGAGCAGCTGCCACAGCAGCCAAAGCAGCGACTCCGGCCAATCGGAGAAGACCGACGACGCGAAATCGATCCCGGACACCCGGACGGCGAACAACAACGAGTTCTTCCGGAACCTGAGCACCAGCTCCCGCCAGCTGAAGGACGAGATCTCGGAGAAGGTGACGACCAAGGGCCGCGCGGTGATCTCCAGCACCAGAAACGCCAGCATACGGCTCGAGAAGTCCGTGAAGAACCTGCTGACGCGGCGACTGACCTCGCTGAACCAGGACGACCTGCTCAAGGACAACGCCGAAGGCTGCAAGCCGTACAACGACCTGATGGAGGACGAGAGGTGCGTCTCCATGCCGGCCAACGACATCTTCAGCAGCATCACGTTCTACAGTCCTCTGAACACCAACTTGAGGAGCATGAGGAACGAGGAGGACCTTTCCGGGACGCGGACCAGCCCCCCGCCACCGGACTATCCTCCACCCCCGCATCCCGACGAATCTATCTACGACGAACTGCAGTCCGTCACGTCTGGCAGCAACCGATACGACACGATCAGCTCCACCGTATCCGAGAAGACCGACAGGGACTTCCCCGAGTCGTTCAGTCTCCTGAATTTCGCGCTGAACCAGGTAATTCGTCGAGATTTCTTCTCGGGATCGAATATCGTCCCTTTGCACTCGAAGATATTTTAACTATAAATATAAAATCATTTTTCTAACTTGTAGTGTTTTTATTTTATATCGCAGAATGCATTTTATGCATATAAAATTGACTCTTGGGAGTTACATAACAATTTTTACACTCTTAATAATTTCTTAAATCTAAATTTTGTTGATATAAAAATTATTTTGAAACGTGATGTAACAAATTTTAGTGGTGCCTCTGAGTCAACAGATTGAGTGCAAAGGATTATTGGGTTGTTGGGACGGTGATTGGTACGGTTTTCAAGGGCGAGAGACGATTTTTTTTATCAGTTGCATCCGGACCGTTTCTTTTTGGGGGAGGTTTAGACGGGTTGCTGGTGATTAGAGTAATTTCGAGATTAATTGTTGGTGCTTTTTCATGCGATCGGAATATCATTTTATATTTTATTATACTTACTCGATGGGTTCAGGATGTTTGTTATTCGATTAATATGTTGATAATGTAACTGAATTGAAATGTTTGCAATGTTGCTGAATCGAGATTTTCAAAGTATTAATTAATTGAAATGCTTAGAATGTTACTGTTAATGTTCAAAATGTTATTGAATTCAGATATTCGAAGTATTATTTAATTGAAATGCTTAGAATGTGTTGCTCTTAATGTTCAAAATGTTATTGAATTCAGATTTTCAAAGTATTATTTAATTGAAATGTTTAGAATGTTACCCTTAATTAAAATGTTCAAAATGTTATTGAATTACAATTTTCAAAGTATTACTTTATTGAAATGTTTAAAACAAAGATGGACAACTTGAGAAAAGGAGTTGCGATTATTCGAGTCTCGCAGCTCGTTTTATACTTGCCGATTATCAACGACTGTAATAAAACGAGCCGCAAGGCTGGAATAATCGTGTCTCCTCTTCCCAAATTTTCTTCGAAACGTCAATTGGGGAGAATTTACTGTACGTAAACATAAAGATGACTTCTCAAACCCGCATCGTTCATTTGATACACAGTTACAGAACGTTCAATTGCAACTCTGAACACAGAAACTGCTTCTCAACATCGCACCAAACAACCAGAAACATTTGTTCTTCTTGGAACTGTTCCATTCCTCGCCCAACGATTTTTTTTCACAGCTACGTTGATCGGCAGCCCTCGATAATTTCCCTGATACAGTAAATTGTCCCTAATTGACGGTCAGATTGTCCATTCAGTCTCAGCGCCAATTAGGAAGAATTTAGTGTAGAACGAGACCATTCTTGTTTCCCGCATGTTCTCACGTACACTTTCATTCCTACATTTCGATGACAGAAATGTTCGATTTCGAAAAAATAAATAACAGTCTTTCATGCCTCGAGGATCTGTCGATCACAGTAGCACAGATAGAATAGCTAATATAATATCTCACAGAGTTAAAAAATATCCAATAACGAACAAACGCAAAGATGGCTTCCCAACTGCACATCGTTTCAGTATATCAGCGAATCAACCCTTTGTACTCGAGTGGGTGACTCCAAGGCACCGTTAAAATTGCTAAGTAACGTTCCAAGATCATTTTCACATCATCAAAGTCTAGATTTAAAAAGTTCTCAAAAGTATAACCGCCGTATGAGTCGCAAGACTCGATTTCGTACGCATAAAATGCGCTTTGTCGCACGAAACAGACATAAAAGTCAGACAAATTATTATACAGGGTGTCCCAAAAATGTCTCGCAATCCGGAAATGGCGGGTTCCTCAGGTCATTCGAAGCAACTTCTTCCTTTACAAAAATTTTCTCCGAGGCACCGTTAACGAGTTATTAACGAAAAACCGTGACCAATAAGAATCGAGTACGGCTGACGCGAGGCGGCCCAGCCAACCAGCGCACGAAGCCCAGTTCCGCTCATTGGCTCGGTCGCCTCGCGCCAGCTGAGCTCGCCTCTCATTGGTCACTGTATTTCTTTAATAACTCGTTAACGGTGCCTCGGAGACAATTTCTGTAAAGGAAAAAGTTGCTTCGAATGATCCGAGGAACCCGCCACTTTCGGATTGCGAGATATTTTTGAGACACCCTGTATATTCGCGGTTGAAGAATGGCTTGGAGTGGAAAGGGTTAATTTACTGAAACACTATTCTTCCCTTATCCGACGTACACTTATCTCGATAGGATTACAAGAAGGATTACACGAAAGAAAACGCGCGCGCGATAACAACTCGATCTTTATCACTTGGTTTCCGTTGGCAGGCCAGCGACTCTGACCAGAGCTTGAACCTCTCGGACGCCAGCGGGTCGCTTCCCCGCGACAAGACTGACTCGAGGAGGTTGTCCAGGTCCGATTCGTGGACGTTCTACGACACGGCCCCAGCCAGCAAGTCCGAAGCGATCGACGAATTGGATCGGATCTCCAGCGCCGAGGAAGACACGCCCGAACCTTGCCACCTGTCCGTCGAGCCTCTGGTGAACAGAACGTCCTCCGCCTCGGAGGAGAGCCAAGCATCCGTGCAGAACTCTTTGTACGAGAACCTGCTCGCCCATAGAGCACCATTGGAGGAGAAACAGGAGACGTCCGGCTCCGAGAACAGAGCGCAGAACAGCCGATCGTTGTTGTTCGAATTCGATCCGTTCGCGAAAACCGCCGATACCGAGAACCTCTACAGCAACTTCGGGAACAATGACATGATGCTGCTGGAGACACTGTTGGCTACCAGCGATTCGCCCAGCAGTTCCGGCAGCATCCTCGATTTCCAAGAAGTCGCCGATAACGAGGAGGATCCGAACGATATGGACGACGAGGACGCCCCGCATCCGCAGATCTCGGCAGTGCCGCCGGTGCCGCCGAGGAGGATCGACTCTCTGCCGAAGAACGAATACGAGGAGGCCCTCGAAGCTATCTCCGGAACCGACAAGGCCACCGTCGCCAAAAATCCGGCCCTGTTGCCGAAGCTGGCGCACTTGGTCACCAAGAAACAGCCCGCCGTGCCGCCCAGAAAACCGCCCAGAGATCGACAAAACGACTCGCCGGCCGATAACGCGGCGTCTGGCGATGATAACGGTCATTCAGGCAACGGTGGGTACCTTGAACTTTGTTCTGGAAATTGCTTTTTCGAATTTCCTGTTGGCGGCGGTGTTTCTTTTTAGGAATATTTGGAGAGGATACGGTGAATTCTTCTTAATTGACGCTCGGATTTGTGCATGAAAATGGACGATTTGGGGAGAGATACGGTTATTTGGGTCTTGCGGCTCGTTTTTATAATTACTAATTGTCAATAACTATTAAAACGAGCCGCAAGGCTGGAATAATCGTATCTCCTATTCCCAGATTGTCCATTTTTGTTTCCAAGCCGAGCGCCAATTAGAGAGAATTTACTGTACTTCCGATTTTAAACAGTTTTTGTTAGCGCGACAGTGTTTAATTCGTCGAGGGTGCATGCTGATTTATTAACACTGTGTTTGCGGAATCTGTTAAAATGATGGGTCACTAATTTTGTAATTTTTTAATTGTTTAATTTACGGTTATATCGTGAAGTTTATGAGTTATTTATTTGGTACTTACGGCAAATATTGCAGTAACGTTCGTTAAAGAAACAGAATAAACTTTTAATTGTTAATTTAACTGCTTCTTAAGTCCGATATTAACGATACTTACTCAACTTGTTTGCGAATAATAGATGCGTCGATAAAGATGATTTTCGAAACGCAGAATATACATAATATTCATATCTTCTTTTTTCAAAACAGATGAAATTGATTAAGAAATCGGAGACGATTCTTATTTTAATGAAGAATATTGTTCATTCTACAGCATCTTTTGAAACAGAACAACATTTTTCTAATAGTACCAAGTGACTTAAATTTTTTTGAGATGTCAGAGATGCAAGTTTACTAAACAATGTCTAAACAATTACGTTCGAACGATGACATCGACAAAAATAATGAAACACTCGAGTTTCTCGACTTTTTCAACGTAAATTTGTTATCAATTTTTATCAATCCCACTAATTGCGATTCTTGAAAAATATTTTTTAGATATCGTCTATTATCTCAAAGAAAAAGAAATATTGAAGTCATTGAGTCCAATTTGAAAAATGTTATCCCGATTGAAAAGGCGTTCGAATAGTTTTCTGAGCCACTGTATGTTCAAATTTTTGATAATCTGCTGAGAAAATATCAATTAATGTCTGACTTTCCTTTGGAAACAATTCAGTAATATATTTCGACAGATCTCGTAATTTTTGATGCGGGTTAAAAAATCCATCATCCACGAACGGTTCGATCATGAGAGATCTAACAGCGAGCTGGCCGAAAGTTATTTTTAATTACGGTCAACAGACCTCAATTTGAATCTACCATTTAAAACCGTTACACATCCCCACAATTATTGGTTGATTAATTTCAATTGAAGATCGTTCAATTGGGTGCAACAGGAAGATCAATGTATCCGAAGAAAATACTGTTAGTAAATATGTTTAAAAAAACAGATCTTCGTTCCGAACGTTGAACGAAAATGAAATTATTCCTTCGGATTGTAAATTTCAATTAGTCTACAAATTAACCAAATATTAATCTGTGAACAACGTCGAGATACATGGAATTTTTTTTTTCTATACCCGCAGATAACTGTTTCCTGTAACAGTAGCTGTCGCCGGATGATCAACATAGTGTGCATCATTGATCTCGTTGTCTCGCCAACCATAACAATATCTATTGGGAACGGAAATGTTCAATCGCGTTGAAAAATATATGTCGACCTTGAGAACTGTGAAACGTGACATCGAGAGGAGAGTTGATCATCCATGATTTCTAGATAGTCACTTATTTCTTTAAGCAACACACATTGTTCTCTCAACATTTCTTTGTCCGTCATGAACAATGAAAGCGCTAAAATACGTATCGAGTTTGACACCCTGTATCCTGCTGAATATTAAAATAGTTTTTCATAAAAATCCCTAATCTACTGATCGTGGACAAACAAAATATTAATAGAGAAATAGATATTTGTATTTTTATAAAAACAGGGAAATTTCATTGACCATCTTTATCTTTATTTTCATTGTGTTGCGGTGAATATTAAAATAGTTTTTCACAAAAATCCCTAATCTACTGATCGTGGACAAACAAAATATTAATAGAGAAATAGATATTTGTATTTTTATAAAAACAGGGAAATTTCGTTGACCATCTTTATCTCTATTTGCATTATGTTGCGGTGAATATTAAAATAGTTTTTCATAAAAATTCCTAATCTACTGATCGTGGACAAACAAAATATTAATAGAGAAATAGATATTTGTATTTTTATAAAAACAAGGAAATTTCGTTGACCATCTTTATTTGTATTTACATTGTTCGAGGAATTAAAAACTGTTCATGCAAACTGTTCATAACATTTCATATATTTATTGGTCATTTATTTGTTATTTCCTACTTGGTAAAAAATCTATTATTTTAATATTATATATCCAGAGGAGTAACGAATCATTTCTGTATTAATTCATCTTTTCAATTCATCCTATCCTAATCGGCACCGTTGCAATTGGTTCGTAAAACAGGAAATTCGATTGAAAGCAGGAAATAGTAGATTAGGTTGATTCACATACGGACGGTTCAGAAGTCCATATTTCTTTGAAAACGAGTCACGCCGTGCGAACACATTTTTACCATAAAATCTTTCGCTCACGTTCACCGCGGAGTGACTAACAAACAACATTGTTCTTTTCTAAAAATAAAACCATTGACATTTTTCTCCCGTTTCTCTTCCGGTTCGGCTAACTTGTACGTCATCTTATGATCTAAATTGTGCTTCGAATTATCAGCTAATTGTCAATATTTTTCTGCAGCTAGTCAACAAAATCCTTCTTTATATTCTCAGCGCACATATAATTACAGTAATGTCTCTCTAATTGACGCCCAGATTGTTTATTTTTATAGTTATAAATTGTCCACAGTTATAAAAACAAGCCGCAAGGCTCGAATAATCGTATTCTCCTCTTCCCAAATTGTCCATTTTAGTGGACAATCTGAGCGTCAGTAAGGGAGACATTACTGTACAGCGATTTCTCCCTAAGTCGCGCTCAGATCGCGCACAAAAATGGACAATTTGGGAAGAGGAGATACGATTATTCGAGCCTTGCGATTTATTCTTATAGTTATAAATTATCCACAATTATAAAAACGAGCTGCAAGGCCCGAATAATCTCGTATTCCCACTTCTCGAATTGTCCATTTTAGTGGACAATCTGAGCGTCAGTAAGGGAGACATTACTGTAATCGTCAATGACCATAAAAACGAGCCGCAAGGCTCGAATAATCTCGTATTCCCTCTTCTCAAATTGTCCATTTTTGTTTGCTGAAAAAAAAACCCTGAGGATCCATACTGTGCCTACGGGACTGATTCCCAAGTTTCTATGATTGATCACCGAGACCCTGCTTTCGCAAATTCCAGCCACGAAGATGACGGTCAGCCCGAAACCTGCCGAGGAATCTCCGGCGAGCCCCGCGGCCGCGAAAAACGCGGAGGAGCACCGTCGCGTCGGCATGATACAGAAGCTGAAGAAGCTGAGGCACGACTCGACGTCCCACGGTATCGGGCCGAACATGATCAGCTTCGTGAAGAGCGGCAGCAAGCTGTTGTCGCGGAACCGGGACCAGGCCAGAGGCTCGGCCTCGAAGTCGACGAAGCTGGAGAGGCCGAAGTCGAACGCGCCGCAGAACCCTGCGAGGCATCAAGGGATCGTCTACAGGTCCGGCGTCGGTATCGAGAGGGCGAAGGACCTCGTGCAGAGGGCGGCGATGCTGGCCGACCAGAAACTATCGTTCTACACGGACAAGAGCATGACCACTGCGAAGGAGGTCATTCAACTCGACACAGTGTACAGCATTCATCTTCTGCAGGATGTAAAGTGAGTCCGCTTTTTCACGGCGTGAAAGAACACGCCCCGGAGACACCGTAGATACAGTTAGATCCGTAGTGTTGCGGAATCTAGAGATGTATGTACCGGGTGAGACGTACGGAACGAATTCATCTCGTCGGGATTAGGCTCTGCGGCTGAGAACGGTTCAGCGTTGTCGACTCCAATAATTCAAGGCCACTCGACCGGTTAGCTGTTTCTGACGACTATACTCTTTGTGACGCGAAAAACAGCTAAATTGTATACTTCGATATCTTTTTTTTATTGAATTATGTGTTTTATAAAAGTGTTAAACATGATGTGACGAGAATCAAATATATATTACAATAACTTGTACACTTTTCGGTGAGATTGCAGAAGCTAGCTCTGGTTAATTAATGAAACTAGAAAGTTTCGAGAACAAACATTCGGTTTGTTCAGTGTACAGGGTGTCACATAATTAGGTTAACACCTGGAAAGGGGCGATTCCTGAGGTCATTTGAAGTAACTTTTTCCTTTACAAAATTGTTCTCCGAGGCTCCGTTTACGAGTTATCGACGAAAAACGCTGACCAATGAGAGGCGAGCTCGGCTGACGCGAGACAGCTCAGCCAATGAGCGGAACTGGACTTCGTGCGCTCGTTGACTCGGCCGCCCGCAGCAGCTGATCTCGTCTCTCATTGGTCACCGCGGAACTGGGCTTCGTGCGCTAGTTGGCTCGACCGCCTCGCGCTACCGGAGCTCGCCTCTCATTGGTCACTGTTTTTCGTTAATAACTCGTCAACGAAGCCGCGGATTGCATTTTCGCTAAAGAAAAAGTTACTTCGAATAACCTCAGAATTCACCATTTTCTTTAGATCATTATGTATGAAATGCATACTTTATAATTTTACTATAAAATAATAGTCCGAAATTAATGTCGCCCATCTGACGTTATTTTGCAACCGACATGCTGCAATTGAGATTTATTTACTTCTTTTGGTTACGCAAAAAGAGAGGAATCGGTACGTTTATCGCGTTTATTGCGGAGATTGACGAAACGATTTGAAATGTTTAGAGGAATCGATGGCGATACTGTACACTGCGTAGCGATCAGCGTGGAAGGAAGGCCGAGCGTCCACGTGTTCTACGCGAAAGGTGTGACCGAAAGACGAATTTGGGCCCAACGAATATTGGAGGCGATCACTCTAGTCTTTCCCACGAAATACTCGTCCGATCTGACGAGGGTGGGATGGGTTTACTTAAAGGTAACGGCGATACACGGATATTCTTGTGCAGATTGTTTGATATTCGACGGAAAATCTGTTGACTTATGTATTTCTGAATTTATATTCGGATATGTGTATTTGATATATATATATATATATATATATATATATATATTTATTTATTTTATAATACTAAATTAATATATAATATATATTATATATTTATATTATATATGTATAATTATAATTTAAATTATATAATTATAATAATATAATTAATAATATATTTATTATATTAATATTATTAATATTATAATATATTTATTATATTAATATTATTAATATTATAATATTATATTATATTAATATAAAATATTATTATAATAATATAATTATAATTTATTTATATTTATATTTATATTTATATTTTATATAATAATTAAATATAGTAATATTATGATAACAATAATTATGTAAGTTATGAAAGTAGACCGCGGATTTTATTCGCACATGACAACAGTGAGTACAGTGGAATACTGTTCGAATGCCGTTCGATCATTTTCAATTTATTCAAAATATATAAAGTGATGACAAATGTTCATTTAATTCCTGTTTTTTCGCAGTCCAGTCGGAGAATTTTTATTTTACACAGAGATCTAGGTTATAAATTATTACGTATTTTAAGGGCATTGTGTTATTTTTTCTTGTTTCATAATTTCGGTCAATCGAGCATGTTGAAAAACGTTCTCTTAAATTAAAGTTAAATGTTTGGTATTTCACTCGCTCCTATTTTGCACGCAATGTCTACGGTGATCGGTAGATAGTGTTGGCTCTGTCTTCTGAGCATTTTTATTCGACAATTCTCGAAAATTCTCAGTTGAGTAAACTATTGTTTACGTCGCGCACGCAAAAATGTCAATCCTCTGAGAAAATTGATTGCTATTGTGAACCACGCTGTTTTCTTTGAAATCGAGCCGTTCGGATCGGTAGAATAGAAGGTAACTTCTATTATAACGTAATACAGAGTACGGGATACTATAAAATGGCCTAGTTTAAAACTCGGTAACGGATACTGTTAACTAATGTATCAGGTGATACGTGTTCTAGGAAGGCGTAACAGGTGTATGGTTTCCGGCATGGGTTCTTCTGCATCAAAGGACTCTGGTCTATACGAAGACTCTCGATCAGTCCGTGGCTATCACTCATGGGGAACTCGATCTTCGAAAAGCACGTTGCATCGGTGAGTTTAATAAATAAATACTTGCTCGTTATATATATATATATATCGTTAAAGTTCGCTCGTTATATATATATATCGTTAAAGTACCGATCGTCCACTGATCGAAACGATCGGAATAATCGTGCAACCATTTTTTAAATAACTTACCTTGCGTTCGTTCGTCTTCGACGGAATCAATAGACCGTCCATCGTTTTAAAAAGCCTAAACAATGTTTTATATTTTATATTTTACTTTGAAATGTCAAAATACAAAATAACCGTTAAAATTGAACTTTTAGAACAGAATTAAAGCGTTAGTATAACAGTTAACATGAAACAGGAAAAGAAATCATTCAGAAGTTAAAAGTTTACTAAATAACTTATACTTGAAAAATGTTTACAGTTAAATTACAGTTAAAATGCAGTTAAATTACAATAAAATTACAATTAAATTACCGTTAAATTACAGAATTAAAGCATTAGCGTAAAAGTCAACATAAAATAGAAAAAGAAATCGTTCAAAAGTTAAAAGTTTACTAAATAACTCGTAATTAAAATGTTTAGAGTTAAATTGTAGTTAAATTACAATTAAAATGCAGTTAAATTACGGTTAAATTACGGAATTAAAGTGTTACCGTAAAAGTTAACATAAAATAGAAAAAGAAATCGTTCAGAAGTTAAAAGTATACTAAATAACTTGTAATTAAAATGTTTAAAGTTAAATTGTAGTTAAATTACAATTAAAATGCAGTTAAATTACGGTTAAATTACAGAATTAAAGCGTTAGCGTAAAAGTCAACATAAAATAGAAAAAGAAATCGTTCAGAAGTTAAAAGTTTACTAAATAACTTATAATTAAAATGTTTAGAGTTAAATTATAGTTAAATTACAGTTAAATTACAGGATTAAAGCATTGATGTGAAAGTTAATAAGAAACAGAAAAAGGAAATCCTTAAAGGTTAAAAGTTTACTAAATAATTTATACTTAAAAAAAAGTTCACGGTTAAATTACAGTTAAATTATTAATTAAATACGAGCCCTGACAAAGATCCACAGTCTGACGATAGGAAATTTCGACGACATGTTCCAGTGTTACGTGAACAGGAAGGCCCGAACCCGAATGCGGGGCCCGTTTCCGTGGTGGTCGTAGATGCAGGTGGCAACGGTGCGTTGCACATCGCTGCACCAGGTATTTACGAAGGATCTGCATGGAGGCACGCGCTCTATCAAGCAGCTACCACGTGTGGTCCCGATTTAGAACAGCAGCAACTAACGCAGGACGACGTCCCTGTGATACTCGACAAGTGCATCAATTTCATATACGCTCATGGTAAATCGAACCACACTTTATTATTATTATTATTATTATTATTATTATTAGTATTAGTATTAGTATTAGTATTAGTATTAGTGTTAGTATTAGTATTAGTATTAGTATTAGTATTATTATTAGTATTAGTATTAGTATTAGTATTAGTATTATTAGTATTATTATTATTATTATTAACACTATGCCGTCCGGTGGCACCACGCTGGTGCCATGCAAAAACTATCCGTTGTATGCCGGTGGTACCACTTCGGTGCCATTTTAAAAAACTGAAATAACATTTGAACTATATTTCTTGGGTGTTAAAAGGCAGCAAACTAACTATAGCATTGTGCTTATTTAACTAAGAATTAAGTACGAAAATTCTTGGATGACATACCTTAATTTTAGAAATTTATATTACCGCCATCTTCGACATTTTTTTTTAAATCTAAAATTTCCAAGCTATTATGCCGACGTCAAACAAAAGAATCATATCTAAGATCTGCGGACGGCATAGTGTTAAAATCTTCGATGTATAATCTAGTTCTCTGAAGGAAACGTTTTTACCGCTTTCAATGCTCCTCGTCCAAAAACGATGAAGAATGTCCAAACAATCTCCTGATCGTTGCCGTGCCACTTTCACAATAATAATCACAGTTAAACGGTTCGATATTTCCCAAAAATTCATGTTTATCCTATGCAATTCATGTTTATCGTAAATATCGACGCACAAATATAAAAATATAAATTAATGTTTAACCTTGCTCGTCGAAAGAAAATCGACGTCGATCGATTCCATCGTGATGCAAGTTCTTGTGCACGCATGGGAAACGAGAAAACAGCCTCGAATTTAATCAGATCTGTCGCGCGTCAAATTCGTTGAAGTACGACAAGCGATCGAGAAGCGTTACGTCGAAAAGAACATAACATAGTCCATAATAGTGTCAATGGTAATATGAAGGTATATATTAATTTGAAGGTATCATGACGGAGGGAATTTATCGTCGTAGCGGGTCCACCAGCGCCGTTGTTCGGCTGCTGGCGGCTTTCCGTCACGACGCATGGGCGATGCAAATCACGAGAGGCTTGTACACGGAGCACGACGTCGCCACCGCGCTAAGACGATTCCTCCGTGATCTACCGAATCCATTGTTTCCTGTCAAAATCCACGACCGGCTTTGTCTCAACACAGGTAAGGCTTCGCTGTCCTTGGCTGGGTTCTACGGCCGAGTTCAATGCACTTTGATGCATAATGTACCGACGAATCGGTGACGGTACACTTATCTAGACGGTCGAAGTGACCCGTTATCAAAATTGCTAAGCCGCTTTTGCCGTGCAATGTTCCGTTCGTTTGTTCAGCTTATTGGAAGGTGAATACGAATTATGCTGTTATGCTAACGAGTCGCCGGTTCTACATTATGTATAAAAAGCCGATGCACCTCTTTGCACGTTATATATGTATGTATGGTAAGCGCAGAATATGTTTGCACAGCAGATTTCAAATTCCGTGTATGTATTCTCTTGCAATGGAACATCGGAATGCGACATTTCAGAATTTTTATTTTACGTTGAATAAGGTGGAAGTTTTTCTTTTGAATGTAATAGAAATGTTGACTTTTTTTTTTTACTATAGAAATGTTTTCATCTTAAATGAGCCGTTTATTTTGAAAGTGGCGTAAGTCACTTTACCGTAATGAAAAGTGGTGATTTTTTCATGTTTATACGAAATTATTTATACTGAGAAATATATCAGTATCCTGAGATAACAAATACAAGTAAATCTTCTCGAAAGTTAGCATCCATATTTTTAAACGTGTTAAAACGCAAACCTTTAAATATATCGACTTAAAAACAAAGTGACTTATGCCACTTTCAAAATAAACGGCTCAAATACAACAGAAGTTTTAATCTTGAATGGAGTAAAAGTTTTTATTTTTATGTGACAGAAACTTTATTTTTATGTTGAATGCAATACGAGTGTTTATTTTGAACGAACCATGAGCTTTTATTTTAAATACAATAGAAGTGTTTGTCTTGAATGAAGTACAAGTTTTTAATATTGAATGACGAAGTTTTTATCTTGTATGCAATAAAAGTATTTATTTGAAATTAAATAACGTCTATCTTGAATGCAATCAAACTTTATCTTCAATGCAATAAAAGTATTTATTTAAAATGACATAACATCTATCTTGAATGCAATAAATCTTTATCTTCAATGCAATAAAAGTTTTCATTTTAAATACAATAGAAGCTTTATTTTTATATTGAATACAATAGAATTTTTAATTTTTAATCGAACGCAATAGAAGAGAGCTTTATTTTGATATTGAATGCAATAAAAGCATTTGTTTAGAATGGAATAGAAACTTAATTTTTATGCTGAATGCAATAAAAGTATTTATTTAGAAGAAAATAGAAGCTATTAGAAATATTTTTACACCGAATACAATGGAAATTTTTAGTTTGAACGAAATACAAGCTTTTTTGTTTTAAATACAATAGAGATTTATATCTCGAATGAAACACAAGTTTGCGATATTGAGCGCAGAAGAAGTTTTTATTCTCGAATGCGGAATAAGTCTTGTATCTTGAATGCGACGGTAATTATTATTTCGAAAGCATAAGTCGTCGCCTCTTGCTGTGTCTGCTTTGCAAGGAAGAAACGGATCGTGTTCTTGTATAATACGAGAATAATGCCTTTATAATCCTTGTGCCACTTTTCGCGGACAGGTCTTCAGCATTATAAGAAGCTGAGCTTCTCAGATTACACGATAACGTTCTCTCGTTATGATGATGCGATTTTCCCTGGCCGCTTCTTTCTTCGGGCTCTCCTTTCCATATCAATTTCTACACGATTTCCTGCCTTCTTTTCATCTTATCGTTTTCTCACCGTTATGCTTCGTCTCGGCGCGGCGGTCGAACCAGTTATGTTCTTCTCTATCGCCTTCTTATCTCCTTACATTCCCGACCATAATCTTCTCGATTCCACATGTTATGTTTCCGTTACGAAGGCGGAGTAGGAAATGCAGCAATTGTATCTCGCAATTAGTGAACTACCAAAAAATACAATAAATTAATAGACAGCTTAGGAAGAGAGAGAGAGAGAGAGAGAGAGAGAGAGAGAGAGAAATCTATAATGATAGAGCAATTATCGAAAGCTTGAGAGAAGATATTTCGGTATAGCTAGCAGTGCGCAATACAAATTTCATATTTTTTCGTGCATGGTATTTAGGTGTATTTGTAAAATGGATTGATATCTGCATTACCCTATAAAATTAAGATGACCTAATTTATTTAGATTTTGTACCGTTTCTTCTATGACTGTTGCAACAATAATATAATTCATTCAATCGTTTCTCATGTTCCGACAATTTTTTACAATTGTAAAATGAGTGATCGATTGGCCATGGTAGGTTCACTGTCAAAGGTATACAATAATGTCTCCCATACTGACGCTCAGGTTGTGTACAGAAATAGACAATTTGGGAAGAGGAGATACGAACGATATTCGAACCTTGTGACTCGTTTTTATAGTTGTTGACAATCAATAACCATAAAAAACGAGCAACAAGGCTCGAACAATCGTATCTTCTCTTCCAAAATTGTCCACTTCTGTGGACAATCTGAGCGTCAGTTAGGGAGACATTACTGTACCGTGCTACGAAGGAAAATAATCCAGAAAAATCGAAAGCGCGAGAATAAGGATTTCTGCTCAAATTTATTAATAATAACCATAAAAAACGAGCAACAAGGCTCGAACAATCGTATCTTCTCTTCCAAAACTGTTCACTTTTGTGAACAATCTGAGCATCAGTTAGGGAGACATTACTGTACCATGCTACGAAGGAAAATAATCCAGAAAAATCGAAAACGCGAGAATGAAAATTTCTGCTCAAATTTACAGAATAACATTTACAATGTTCAACATTCGTGTTTGTATGTACGCTGCGCGGGACAAAAAGCGGCAATCATTGTGCGAACAGCACAACAATAATCGAACGCATAATTGTCGAACCGAAAAACTGAATAACCGCGCTGGCGTGTCGATTCTACGAATAAATTCGATGTTTTTAATCCTCGTTTCATTACGTTTCGGTAGAGTATTTATGGTCGCTGGGTCAGCAATCGGCGTGTTAACAAGAACCGGAAAGTCTGTCTCGCTGACAAAGGGGACAAGAACATTTCCGCGAAGAGCAGCACATGCAAATAAATCGGTCCTTGCCTTCGGCCGGCATTTGCATACGTAATTATAAGAAGAATGTCAAGCCGTCGGCACCCACGCGTACTTTCTCACATCGCGACCAGTTCCATTAGGGAGCTTATTGTTGAATCTCCGGTGTTCATTACTCAAGAACTTAATGACTTTCGTTTAACCGGGAACAACGTGTCCCGGTTTCGTCGAACGATCGAATTCGTTCACGATGAAACACGCTTGTTCGATTATTATTACGTTTTTGCTCAACAAGATTTCCGATAATGACAGTAATAACTGATAATGCCGCGACGATATCGTTCGTTATCTGCTCTGTTCTCTCTGTTCTCTATCTTCGCTGTTACAGCTCGTAGGAAGAAAATAATGATGTTAAAACCGATGTCTTGCAATGTTTACTGAATCGATGTTATGCGGGTGCTTCGTATGCTATTTAAATAGTCACATCGAAAGAATTTAAGGATGTTGACATGTTAATTACAATTTAATGAATTTATTAACGATAGAGATTATCAGTGGGATTATTAGAGTGAAACAATTAGCGATATCTAGTAATATTGTTTTAAATATGGATTTTCTTTTTTGTTTTAAATATGGATTTTAAATATGGATTTTTCTTTTCTGAAGCCTGAATTTTAAGAAATTTTCTGGAGACTGAATAAGACACTGTTCTCTTCTCATCGATATTGAACTATATTCGAGTAAAATAATCAAGTAAAAAACCTTTATAATAATCCTGTTAATAGTATTAATACTTTAAATTCTGTTAACGTATAAATTGTTTAAATTCTCTGCGACCCATTCCCATAATAAACGCATACAATTTTCAGTCAATTGAAGAAGAAAAGAAGAAAATGTTTAGTAGAAATCCACGATCTACCTAAAAATCTGAAACTTAAGACTAAATTTGTAGGCAAATTTATATAATATTATATATTATTATATTATTATTATTATATTATTATTATATATTATTATATTATATAATATAAATTTTAAAAAACAATTTCACATTTTAAATGCTTTTCCTCCAAATGACAATGAGAAGTAACAAGCAGTATTTTCATTCTGAATTCTAGAAAACATTAACGAGAACGAACAGGTCACAGCGTACAGGTCGCTGTTATCTTCGTTGAGCCCGGTGCCGGCGGCGACCCTGCGGAGGATTCTTGCTCACCTTCACTGCCTGAGTCAACAGAGTTCCAGGAACCTGATGACCGTCGAGAATCTTTCTGCGATTTGGGGGCCGACGTTGATGCACGGCGGGAAGAACAGCGCCGAAGAATGGAACCGCCGGGAAACGAGAGTGGTCGGCGATCTGATCCGGCTCTATCCGAAGTTGTATCAATTGACCGCCGCCGATCTCGCGAAGGAGGCAAAAATTTTAGAGGTCCTCGAGAAGCATCATGTGTCGAACAATGGGCCGCGGGCGCCCTCAGGAGACCTCAAGATATGGATCTATGTCTTCTCGAAAGACGGCGAATGCGTGAACGTGACGGTAAGATTCTCCGTTGTTCGCCGGTCTGACGTAATCAATCTACTATTGTTCGAAACGTAAATTTGAAATAATATCCTGATCATGTATTTCTTTTGTACACGGAGCATTGGATACTCGGATATTTATTATTAAATGCAAATTTATGGTACACGTGCTAGTTCGTAAAATGCAAAGAACGTGCATACTAATATGAATTATTTATATTGTTTTCCTATGTTTGTGATTAAAGATAATTTTACCCTTCTTTAGGTATTTAGAACTTCTTAAAACAATATTGTTTTTCTATGTTTGTCATTAAAGATAATTTTACCCTTCTTTAGATATTTAGAACGTCTTAAAACAATATTATTATTAAATGCAAATTTATGGTACACGTGCTAGTCGGTAAAATGCAAAGAACGTGCATACTAAAGTGGATTATTTATATTGTTTTCTTATGTTTGTGATTAAAGATAATTTTACCCTTCTTTAGGTATTTAGAACTTCTTAAAACAATATTGTTTTTCTATGTTTGTCATTAAAGATAATTTTACCCTTCTTTAGATATTTAGAACGTCTTAAAACAATATTATTATTAAATGCAAATTTATGGTACACGTGCTAGTCGGTAAAATGCAAAGAACGTGCATACTAAAGTGGATTATTTATATTGTTTTCTTATGTTTGTGATTAAAGATAATTTTACCCTTCTTTAGGTATTTAGAACTTCTTAAAACAATATTGTTTTTCTATGTTTGTCATTAAGGATAATTTTACCCTTCTTTAGATATTTAGAACGTCTTGAAACAATATTATTATTAAATGCAAATTTATGGTACACGTGCTAGTCGGTAAAATGCAAAGAACGTGCATACTAATGTGAATTATTTATATTGTTTTCCTATGTTTGTCATTAAAGATAATTTTAGCCTTGTTTAGATATTTAGAAAACGATTAACGTAAAATATTGTTTTAGCGAAACATGAAAATCGTGGAAATAGCGAATAAATAATAAATAAATCTAATAATAAATAATAATAAATCCACGGTATATTTTCTGTCTAGATTGGACCGCAAAAGACCGCATTCGATATATGCGCAGAGCTCGCAGACAAAACGAATTCACCGGCCCATGAACTTTGCTTGGAGGAGTACACGTTGTCCGGTGCGCTGGAACGACCGCTGCATCACACCGAGCGTGTCCTTGAAACGGTTGCAAGGTGGGGATACTGGGAACCCGAGGATAGGAAGGACAACATCCTCATTCTTAAAAGAGATCACCTCTACAAGGATATATTGCCCTTGGTAAACGCGATAGATCAAGAATCTACAGCGATAACCTTGGAAATCTCTCGCCGCTTTGATGATATCAGTGTCTTTGGTTTGATCCCGACGGACTGACTTGTGTAAAACGCTTATTAACACTGTTTTTACCAAAGGGACCGAACGACGTCTTTTAATATTTTAATTCAACGCTAGTTTTTTTACCAGAAGAGTGAATGGCATCTTTGAAATCATCTTCTAAAATTTTTGTTCAACGCTATCTTTAACAAACTGGTCAAATGAGACCTTTCAAAATTTTAATGAAGCACCATCTTACCAAAGAGGTTGAAAGACACCTTTCAATATTTTTATTTAAAATGATTTTCTAAAAATCGCTTGTCCTCGATTGATACTTCAACTTTTTTCTATGCTAGTTATAAAATTAATTTGGTGAAAACATATAGATACAAAAGATCAGTGAAAATAGTATAAACAGTGCAAAGTAATTTAAAATTAAATACGAAAGTTTCTGAATACATTTTTCTACTTCTGCAAAGAAAAGTTAATAAATATCCGACTTTGGATGTGTCACTCACAGACTGGTGAAAGTATGTTACAATTTGCTTCACACGGCCTGACTGCACAATAACGCATACATTAGCGAGGTTCAGGGACGTTTGCGTCTGAAACTATTTTCCATGGTGACCGGCTCGTTGTGGATTAGAGCACATGAATCAGAAGGGGGAAAAGTAAATGCATATTTACGAGCTACGAGAACAGGATGTGGATTAATTAGGCTTGCTTTACTCGTTCACATGTGAAAAGTATCAATATCCATTAACATAATAGCATACAATGATCCGTTTTGTGATACACGTTTGTTATTTGCGGCATTGTATGCTCGGATTTCCCTGTAGAAATGGAATGGAATCAAGCGTAACTTTAATTTTGCACTTTTTTCCATTTCTTTTTTACAGAAATATTTGTAAAATGTAAATTGTATATAATTCAAGAATTCATTCGACTGTTTTCTATTTGTTTACAGATAAAACCACCACTGACACCGTCCGGTGAACTTAAATTTGCTAGCAGTAAGATGAAGCACTTCAAAACCTACCTCTTTGAATTTAGTCAAGGAAAACTTTGCTGTTACAAAGACAAAGTGTGTTCGGCTAAGTTACACGAATGGAGGATAGAAGATATCATTTGGTACCTAGGTCATGAGCCTAAACGGAATCCTCAAACTGGGTTCGTTTACTATTCTTTCTATGCGTTAGATTTTATCAATTCTTGTAGAAATTGTAAAGAGACTACAAATAAATATGTATTTTCGTTACAGATGGTCCATCACATTCATTACAAAAAATAACAAACCGATGAGGTATAGTTAATACATTATGAATGAAAGTATATAGATGAATATTATTTTTTTTTTCTATATAATAAAGAAAACGTTCGCTTATTGATATGTATATTAAATTTATATTTTAGGTGTAAAGAAACTCCATTTTTCGGATGTACGATAGCTGGATCGTTAAAGGACGAGCAATATAAGTGGTTAGCAGCTATGATCTTTGCAGAATACCAGCTAAACCTGCGACCATCTGCAATTAATCTTATGGATCCGTAAATAATTAATATATTTTTTTAAGTAACGTTCGTGCCTCGGAAATTTATTATACTTCTATATTTTTATATTGTATATTATTTTGTCATTTGTTTCATTGCCCATGCTTGCCTTAATACGTGCACGACTACAATATTTTTTTATATAGTACATTATGTATATATGTTGAAATAAATAAAAAATATCATTACATAAGCTTATTTATCATACAAAACAAACAAATGAATAATTAAATGAGATTTGTAAAGATTATAACATTATTATGTATTTTGTAAGCTGCTCACATGACAATGTCATGTCATTTTTATTAAGACATATTTATCAATCGCAAATTTTCTTTAAATGTTAATTATAAAAGATATTTTATTGGATATTAATTATTCTAGATATTTTGTGGGGTATTAATTATTAGGAATATTTAGTAGGATATTAATTGTTAACAGCTGGTGTGTGTGTTATTAATTAGGTAATTAATTTCTTCTTCGACATGGAGAATTATTAAGATGGCTATGTTTGCCTTCTCTCTCTGCAACTGCTTTGTCGGATACCTCCTTGCTCATCATGTTTCACGCATACGTACCAGGGAATCAGCAGATCGTTCGAAAAGTTGGTGGCACTGTTTACATATGACGAAGATAGAGAGAATTATAGGCATTAGCATTGATGAAAAACAGTAGTCCTAACACTTCAATAAATCATTGGCATTGGCAGATAGGGAAAATTTAGTCATATCACTATGAATAAAGCCATTGGCATCGACATGTAGGAAAAAATAGCTCACAATCTCGACATCATAGATGGCGTCACAATCGCGCTCGAAATCTGTGCTAAATTCAAATTATTCTCCACTGTGTTGATTTTACGCAATATCTTACAATCATAACTATGTACTTACTAGAATCATTCACATTTCGTCAGTTTATCATTGTTCGAGATCATGACACCTATCTCGTGACAAACATTTCGGATTTCGTTCAGATATCGAATTAGTTTTTGTGATTCTCGTTCATAACTCGTTTACACAGCTGCGATCAACATTTTTCCTAAGAAAAGGGATATGCATAAACTTCATATCATCCGAGGAATTACTTTCCTCAAGGAGTCCTCTATATGGAACACCCTGTAGAAATTAGTTACCGATTATTGCCGCAGTTGCGTAACCATTTTCTTGCAGTGCGAGATCTAGTCTTATATACGCTTCCTTCGTGCCTGTTACCAAGATACATAACCTACAAATTGCGTACTATTTAATTAATTCCATGAACGTACCGTACGAAACATTAAATAAGAAATACAAGTGTTCATTATTAATTAATGTAGATATACGATATTTTCATTTATAAATTATTAGCATCATACCACATTTTTTATTTAGTTTCATACAACAATTCTCTACGTAAAATGCATCAAAATTTGACTACATCGGAGTAGTTCATACACGTGCAAGTAGTGCATCACACGTTTAGGTTAACCGCGATATTTATAAGTTCATCAAATTACTAAATAATTTTTGTTTGTACAATTTCATTTATATAGTAATAAACCGTAAGTTCGTTAAATTGTAAGATATAAAAAATAAAATAATATAAAAATGGTGGTATTTACCTGTAATCATTGTGGAGAATCGTTACCGAAAGCAAGAGTTGCAAAACATTATGAATTTAAATGTCGCAATACACCTTTTCTAAGTTGTGTTGACTGCTTCAAAGATTTCCGGTATGTATAAATGAGGTGTAGATTTTTCTGGCTTCTGCTCCGATTAATTTCTCAAAATACTATTCGTTGTTTATATATTTGATCATTTTCAGGGGACAAGAATATGCATCACATACAAAATGCGTATCTGAAGCTCAACGATACGGAGGAAAGGATTATGTTCCTAAACCTGGATTCAATAAAGGAGAACGAAAGCAACAAGAATGGATTGAAGCACTTGGTGGCATATTAACCGACACAAGAAATTTATCAGATGAAGAGCAAACTTTGTTGAAAACTTTGTCAAAGTATGAGAATATTCCAAGAAAAAAATCCAAATTTATTAATTTCATTAAAAATGCAGTAAACTACAGAGTAAGTTCAAATGTTATTGATAATATCTGGGACAAATTCGACACTGTTCATAAAAACAATATACAATCTACACCACAGAATCACGAAGAAAACGGTAAACATCATTTTACAATTTAATCATGACTTAAACTTATCAGTTTTTTTGAAAATATTTTTAATTTTTTACAGGTAAAATAAATGACGAAGTGGATGAGAAAAATCATGTAAGTGAGCATCAGGAAAATAACATTATTGATAATCAAAATAATGAAAATATTTCTAAAGAAAATCAAAATAAAGAAGAACAAAACAGGAACAATGATAACGTTACTAATGTTGATAAAAAGAAGAAATCGAAGAAAAGAAAAGCTAATGAAGCAGTAGAAGAACAAACTGTAGAACCTGCATCAAATAAGAAAGGTAAAACCACACCTGCAAATGACCAAATAGAAGTTTCAGTCCCAAAAAAGAAACGTAAAAGTATTGCACTTTCTGAATCATCTAACAATCAGAATAATGAAGTACAAACTATTGAGAAATCAACCTTTGATTGGAAAGGTACTATCTTAGATATAGTACAAAGCAAAGGGGAAATTTCCCTAAAGAAACTACAAAAAAAAGTAATTTCTCAATATATGAACTTTTGTTCAAATGATGTAATAAATGGGAAAGCATCAATTAGGTTTAATAAGAAATTGAAAAAGGTGTCAGGAGTATTAATTTCTGATGGAAAAGTGAAACTAGCATAATTTAGATGACTCCAATAAATTGAGTATTACTATTTTGTTTGTTTTTTGTTTATAGACAATGTAATACAATTGAGTGATTACTATTATTTATGAGCATTGACAATTACCTTTTATTATACACAAATTTAGACGCGTATTAAAGAAAAGAAATATCCCCTCAACAAAAGAAATATTTTCTTTGCCTTTTCAACAACACACGTTGACAAGTTCAGAACGGCAAGTTCGAACTGAGCCTAAAGATGCGAATAACTAAAATTTTGAAAGCGTTCTCCATTAATACCGACAACGCTTAGTTTGATGTCTTTAGTGCCAGTATTTTGTCTTAACACACTTGACAACTTTATAACTTCCCGCTTGACATTTTCATGGCTGGATTATATGTAAAGATAATGTATGAATGATAATTTATTACTATCATGGAGAGTTCAAAATTTATATCTATCGTTGATTGTCCATGAAGTATAAAATTATTATAAAATTTATTCAGTAATAAACACTTTTAAATAAACATTTTTAAATGTCTCCTTTATTTCATTTTTTAGTATTAAATTATGCAGTATGGAAGATTTGATCGTTTTCATAGGAAGAGTATTTTGAATGCTTGCCGTTAGATTTAAAGTCTCATAATTTGCGTTAAATGTTTGAAAATTTGTCCAAATATGAATCATGATTATTCATAGTGGCTAAAAGACCCCCTATGAGTACTTTGGAATCATTAGGTCCAAAACTTATTGCTTGTTGGTCAAATAATTGTGAGACTGTACCACCAAGAGCAGTAAGAATTGCAGTGCCTGCACAGATGTCCCATTTATTTATCGCTGTCATATGGACATATGCAGTTGCATTTCCACTCACAACTTCTAAAAACTTGTATCCTAAACAAACATTGGAAGATATAAATATCAAATAATAAACTAAAATAATAAACTGATAGTTAATAATACTACCTGCACCAGCTGCAGAAATAATGTCAACACCTTTGCCGAACGCAGTTTTGGTAACATTATGAACTTGTCCAGCATGAGATTGTGATACAATTATAATTGGTGATCTTTCATCTTCTGGCTATTTTTAAAAATATCATTTAATGCATCTATCTGAAAAAGTTTTTGATTGCATTACCTTGGGAAGAATTTGTAAATTTCGGGACACTGCACGATTGGTCCACGACCAAAACAAACTTGAATTTTGTTTTGTTTCAAATGGTTTATATACAACGCCTATTACAGGCCTTCCTTTAACAGCAACACAGACCATAGTTGTAACATATTGCAATAAATTTTCTGGATTGAAGAGAAGTCAGTAAGTAACGGACATTAACATTTTAAATTGATAATAATAGGAAATATAATTTATGATAGAAGAACACCTGTGAATTCTTTTGTAGCGTCAAGAGGATCAATCCATATTGTAATATCATTTGCACTGATGACTTCATCTTGAATCTTATAGTCTATTAAGTTATTTACAGAATCTTTTATGTTTGGGACTATAACTTTATCACAATCTTTTGATGCTTCTTCAGATATCACTGTTATTCCTGGGAATGCCTCTGTCAAAGAGTGATACATCACACAATGAGATCTATAGTCTGCTTCTGTTACCGGTTCATTTACACCTTTGAAATTTAAAAACGTAATTATTGACATAAAATTTTATGTCAATCAACAATGTTTAATTAGGTTAATTAACAATGTCATTCAAAGAAGTGATATCAGTCAAAGCAGTTAAAGGCTTAATATTTATAAGAAATTGTTTTCAAGTATTCAGTGTAGTATATTGACTTGAATAACACTTTGATTGTTACAAATTTTTATAATACAAACGTGTTACCTTCTTTCGTTTTCCCCTTGCTTTTAATTTCGAATTTAACTTGATCATGAACTTCGACCACTTTCGAACCACCAAGTTCTGCTGCCTTTATCGCAGCATTAAGAAGTGATTTTAAAGATACATTTCTGTCACGTATACTTGCATAAGAAGTCCGATTTGTATACAAATATAAACCACTCAATATTAAACATACGAGTCCGCAGCAAATCGTTCTTCTCGTACGGACACTCATTCTGATATGCATTGTATAACACTATCCAAAAGTTTCCTAAATTATTAGTTTAATTTAATTTATACACCGTGACATTTTAATTGTCCAGTGTGCAGCCATTTTTCATTCATTTGAATCCACTAATGACACTAATGTTCGCACTACATATTTACATGTTCCGATGAATGAAGTTCCGTAAGATTTATTCGATGACGTAGCTAGTGTGAGCACTATCTTTTAAATAAAGTTCAAGTTGTTGTAAAATAAATACATACAGCTTTATTAAATACATTCTTTGAAATACATTAAAATAAATATTGCATGTACATTAAAAGAACATTGTCCCGTCATATTGAATATATATGTACAGTTTAATTAATGGTAACCTTAAAGTATATATATGTAGCCACAAAAATATTTCTTCTTTCACCGTCATTGGCCGATGGATAAGTGGTGCTAAAAAGTTGACCAATTGCCTATACAATTAAAGGTACTATTATTGTAAATTTAACAAATAGTACATACATCAGAAATTACATATTAAAAATGTATATAATATTCTACATTCTCTATTATTCATCTCTGATAATATCCTTTAAAATTTTATGTTACGTCGGACAAATTTTGGATAAGAACACGTAATGTGTATATGTATGTAAGTTGTAATTGAGAATCAGTCTTAAAGTATACGATGCTGCATCCTGCGTCGCACAATGCGCATAGCTCGCAAGTTTGAATGATTTAAAAACGAACTACCAGTTGTGATTAGTTGTAATCTAACGTTAATTTCATCTATTTACATTTAATGTAAGCCATAAGTGATACAGATTCATATTTTCGAAAAATGGAATCCGATTTAGAAGACATTTACAATATTCTACTTCAAGCTAATCTGCCTGCGAGTATGAATGATTTGAAAAATCCAACAGAAGAGTACGTTGTTAACTTAATCAACACATTTTTGAGAACATTTCATATTGATGTCGATACTATTAATAAGGTAAGATTGCAATATTTTTACGCTTTTAATGGATCTGTGTTGTGTTGTGTGTGTGCGTGCGTGCGTGCGTGCGTGCGTGCGTGTGTGTGTGTGTGTGTGTGTGTGTGTGTGTGTGTGTGTGTGTGTGTGTGTGTGTGTGTGTGTGTGTGTGTGTGTGTGTGTGTGTGTGTGTGTGTGTGTGTGTGTGTGTGTGTGTGTGTGTGTGTGTGTGTGTGTGTGTGTGTGTGTGTGTGTGTGTGTGTGTGTGTGTGTGTGTGTGTGTGTGTGATTAGGATCAACGTAGAAATGAAAAATTTTGCACCTATTCATGTTTCTTAAAATTTTACTCTAGCGAACGAAGGAGCAGCAAATTGCATGCGATGACACTGACATGATTCAACTCATAAATTTACATGCTGCTATGGTACAAATATGTGATCGAATATATCTAAAAGATCTATGTATTACAGACATTATTAGTCCAGGTATGTCTTTTAAAATGTATACTTAAACATTCTTACTTATGAATTATATTATTGCATTTATAATGTAACAAAGATGCTAAGTGTCCTTTACATGCGAATATGATTCCATTGATATGATAGTTCTAAAAACAGAAAATTATTGTTAAAAGAAAGAATCTCATTGAAATCTTACCATTATAATAAAAAGATATTATACTGACTAGGTTCAAAAAGAATACGTAAACAAGCCAAATTGCTTGCAAACTTTATATTATATGCAACTACCAAAGAATTAGAAATAAAGGATAAAGTAGATGAAATCAAATCCAGAGCACGTATACTACAGGAAAGGTTGGATAAGGAAAATGAAATAATAAAAGCTATAACAGACAAGCAACAGTATATGGCAAAACAATTATCATTAAAGGATAAAGTACTACTGTAAACTACATTATCATAATTTACCAGTGTTTATAATTTCTATATATAATTATTATTTTTTCAGATTATT